TCATCTGTTCTGCCGCTCGGATCATTTACAGGACGGAAACATTAAAAACTGCAGACAAAAAAAAATAGTAGTGGAGTCGACACTGACTTTGAACTCTGTACAGAACTGCTGAACCGTCCTTGTTGATTCTTTGATTCTCTGCACTATTACATTACGGCATTGTTTTTATTTCTTTTCCAAATCACTGACTGTTCAAAGACGGTGCTTAGTTTTTTTATACACATCAGGTCCTACTGATCCCAAATAACTAGAAGAAATAAAAAATGCATACCAAACAAAAGCTGTGGTCTCAGGAGGTGAAGTCTCTTTGCTTTATTTTGTCCAGCTTTATTGTCGTTGTTTCAGCTGTATGTTTATTTCTGTGTCTGACTCCTTGTGTTTGTTCACATAGCTGGGCCATACATCTGATTCTGATTCATTTGAAAGCAATAAACACAAGGTGTAAAAAGCATTTATCATTTAGGACTTGTCGGTCTCCACTCAGGACTTCATAGAAAGACTTGAGACTTGACTGACTTGTGTCCACCTGTGGACAAACATGAGGACAGAGCTGAATCTGCGTTCCACTGTGACGGGCTGGCCTCTGCTTTATGATAATAATCACAGTGTGATCATCGGGCAGCGGGGCTGGACGGGGCCGGGGGCCGTCGCAGATTTGGCAGGTCTTCTTGTTATTGAATATTTCCATTGTAGGGCCAACAAAGGTGCCGTGATCACTGCTGAAATGCTCACAAAGGAAATGCCTTCTTGCAAACAGCATGCTGAGCTGGCAGTTTTGGTGTGAAATATGCAATCATTAGAAAAGCACCTTTGTTTTTTTTAAGTAAGCTGCTGGTAGCTTTGTGCTGCCTCGCTCCTGTACCACAGGATTACACACTACACACTACACTACACTACTCTACACATGTGAACACAGGCAGCAGGGTGGGTCTGCTCTCTGTGGACATCCAGGCGTTTCTGCTGCAGCTTTGTGATATCATCATGAGGACAATAAAATAATTAAATGAAATGATTAAAAAAAACTAAATATCAAACACAAGACCTGACTTTTGCTGCTTGGAGGAATATTATTTATCAAAATGCTGCTCTAACAAATAAAGTCATGGCAAAATCTTCAGAAAAAGTCGACAGTTGAAAATGTATTAAATCAACGTTTGTAAAGTTTGTACTATATGACTTTGTCATCAGGAGGCGGAGGGGATAGTGGATGGCATGACACACAGGAGAGACGCCTGCCAAGTTGCAGACCACTTTTTAAAACCAACAAAAACAGTTGTTTTTCAGTGAGTCATTGCTGTGTTTCTTGCAGCTTTTTAGACACCAAATGTGGTTGTTGTGTGGCAACCGTTGTTGTTTTTCCACTGGGAATTGTGCCACAAAAAACAATTGTTTACAGAGACATCACATTCTCACTCCGACCTCATCACATGTCCATATTTGGTCACAGGCTTTCCACATTGACATATGACGTGCAAGGTACCCTGGGTGCATTGGTTGTTGATGTTCTGGGACACTGTGTCAAGTTCTGCCTTTCTCTTTTAAAATAAACACACTATGTCAACAACAACTGCACATGGTTACGTTTTGCTAACAGTGGGTTCAGGAAAAAAGAACAGGGTTTGACTTTACAGTCTTACAGGAAGCAAACACCAGCCTCCAGGTGAAAGTCCATGTTTCTTGACCCATCCAGCAACCCTCCTACTCGATCTTCCACCACCAACTTTTGTTGTTGTTTGTTGCTGCATTTCCCCCTGATGCCACTGGGCGCCATTAAAAAACAACAGCAACCAGCCATGTATCATGCCGATGTGAAAGGACGGCTTTTTTCATCTGTCTGATGCCAGAAGTCACTTGAGCAAGTGTCGGTTTTTGACAACTTCAGAGTGAGGCGGGGTTGATAGACACATCACCGGCTTCTCCAGCCAGGATTGTGTCACCAAAACCAGGTATCTTTGGCCAAAACATGTACCTAAACATAACCACACTCTAATCACAGCATTGTTGAAACATAACGTACAAATGTAACACATCTGTGGTTTGCAGAAACGTAAAATTGCCAAAATTTATTCTGGCGACTGGGTTGCCCCACAGGAATATAATTCCGGTAATGAATTCCTCTTATTTTAAAACAGTCAAGTTGAGTCAAGTATGATTTTAACCAAGACACCTGCCGAGCTCCAAACCACTGTTAGAGACCAACGAACAACAGAAGTGATTGTTTTTTTAAAGAGTCATTGCTGTGTTTCCAGAGGGGATAGTATCACAACAAGCAGGTATTTACTGCCAAATCATGATCATTTTCCGAACCATAAGCAAGAGGTTTTTGACCCTAAATCTCACCACACATTAACAGGCATTGCTGAAATGTAAAGTTTCGACGTATGTGCTGCATAGTATTGTATAAATGTAATGTATCTATTGTTTGTATAAATGTACAATGCCATTTTTTTTTTTTGCAGTAGGTTGAGTTGCAGTTCTATAACGGATCTGATGTAGCGTCTCTCTGGTGTAGAGGTGGTGAGGGCTGGGGATATAAGGGCCACTGTTATTGTTTTTATTTCTTATTTTTACCTACTCTGTTCATTTGTCATGTCTGAGCTGTTTTGTTCTGTGTTGTATACGAAACATTTTATAAACATATTCCTAAAGAAATAAGTCTTTTTTTCTGTGAAGCATTAAGAGGGAGAGTTAGACATATTAATCCAACTGGGTCCAAACAGGACAGACTGATGCTATTATCTTTATTGTTAAAAAAAAATAAAACAAAATAAAGATAAAGCTAAAATAGTCCATCTCTCAGTGCTGTCTGACTTCCTGCCTGTCTCTCAGCTCAAAGCTCATTGTTCCTACTGAAGACATAAATCTTTGAAAACATCCCACAAATGCATACAGTAGTTTTAAATGAGCAATGCTTGAATTTATAGACTCTGTCTTTGTCTGGTGGCTCCATAAAGGTCTTAAACAAATTACAAAGTCATATAAAGTAATGAATTTTAAGTGTATTTTACAGTAACAGTCAGTCGGTGGAGTCTCTGCTTCTTCAGCAGATTCAGTTTGTCTTCAGTGTTTGTGTCAGTCAGCTGTGACGGTGTGTGTGTGTGTGTGTGTGTGTGTGTGCAGCAGTGAGTCCTGTCTGTCTGTTGCAGATATCTATCTCTGCGCGAGGCTTTGTCTAGGTTTTGTTTCAGGCTTTAGTTCTCTGTGTGGGAGCTGAACTCATCAGTCTGACTGAGAGACTGACGAGTGACCGTGGTATGAACACATGACATCAGCTGGACATGTGATGTTTGTTTTATAGGCAGGATATTAATATGCCACAGTGAAGAGAGCTGACATCATGACATCACTTCCTCTGCAACTTCTGTAACTCAGCACAAACTCTCATTCAGCATTACTTTCATCTTCTGTCAGAGTTTACTCCTCAAAATAAATCAGCTCACTGCAGCAGCTGATGTTACAAATATAAAGTTTTTCAACTTGAACTTTATGAGCACAGAAAACTCTCAGACACTCTTCTGTCGAGCTGTGACCTTTAACCAGCCAACATCTGGGGCTTGTGGGAATCCTGGGGCATGTTCAATCTGAAAATGGTGTGCACCATTTTCCTACTGTTTCTAGATTGAACGAATTGTTTCTTTGAAATGGTTTTAAACTTTCAGGTATGTTTCCTCTTGTTCGGTGGGTGTGTCAGAGGTGTTAGAAGTCTTAGTGACGTATAAAAACCAAATTCTGGTCAATGTTTACTTATTGTGCGTACAGTTTCGCTTTTATTTCACACTTGCTTTGGTAATGTAAACATATATTTCTCATGCCAATAAAGCCTCTGTGAATTGATTTAAATGAAACCCCCTCATATTAAAAAGCAATGTGTCTGCATAACACAAGAGAGTGTTTAGCACACCACTGTTTAAATTAACATTTTGTTATGTTTCTGGTTTTCACCCAAGTGGCCTGGGCTCGCCTCCTGATATGTGAAGTCACATGTCCTTTGGTTTCAGCTTCCCTGTTGATAAGCTCCCTTCAAAGGGCTTTCACTATGAATGAGAAACAATGGCCTGTTGTTAACAGATCAGTAATTATAAGTGATGAAATCAGAGAATCACAGAAACCCAATACTGACCGGCAGAATCTGACTGAAGCAGAAATCTCACACACAGATAACCTGTAGACTGACAGTCGCACACACCAGCAGCTTTAAAAATCTATTGCGCATGATGACATTATACTTCTTACTCAGCTGTAAACTCACACAGCAAAACTGTATAAAACCAATAAATAGAAAAAAATGTGCTCATTGCATTCAATATATTAACATTTATATACATAATTAGAAGCCCAGCACAAAAAGATGCACAGTGTTAATGTCCATAAATTATTTATCTGTCTTTTGGTGTCTTTTCACAACCCAATCACAGAATAAATGTTGGCATTGTATATTTCTGCAAACCAGGGATACCTTGTATGGTATGTTATATGGTAGTATGTAGTGGATACGACGAAACTTAAGGTTTCAACAACGTTGTGGTTAATGTGTGGTAATGTTTGGGCACAAAACCACTTGGTGATGGTTAGGAAAAGATCATGTTTGGGCTTAAAATAAAAGGGTTTTGGGGGAACAATCCCCGCTGGAAACACAGTGATGGGTCGCTAAAAACACCCACATTTAGTGACCAAAAATCCACTGGAAACACAGTGAGGTCTTGGTAAAAAACTATTGGTTTTGTTGTTTGTTTGTGCCTCCTAGGTTTCACATCCTAGACCATCCCCTCCACCTCCTGATGACAAAGTCAGCTCATACACTACAAACTTTAGAAACCTTGACATGATACATATGAAACGTACAGATGTAACGTATTAGTAGTTTGCAGAAATGTACAACGCCAACATTTTCTACTGGTGACTGGACTACTTTTCAACAGTTATTCCTCCCTCTAACAGCAGGAGGCTCATTGCGGTCCATATGCTGAAGTTTACACCTGTGTTTTCTTCAGGTGTCTGCTTCAGTCCTTCAGGTGTCCTGAGGAGAAACACGGACGTCCACTCTGAATCACACGAACATCATTCGTCTTTAAACCTGCAGAGAAAAGCTCTGGACTTTGGTTACAGTGGTAAACTGAGTCTCTGCTGTTGGAAACCATGGAAGGATTCTTCTGTGGCGGCTCAGGAAGTTTAACAGGACGATTCCCGAATCCAAATGATCTGTCCACAGACAGTCTCCGTCCTCTCCTGCTGGGGGTGCTGTTCCACATGTGAGTGCCCATATGAACCTGCAACAGGACAGGCAGTGGTTACCATTTAGGACATGCTGATGTGCCCTTCGTTAGATCTCCAACAAAACTTATTTTATTTTATTTCTGCTGTAATGTTGAAATCTCTGACATTAGTCATTTTAATGTGAGTTTTATCATTGGAGGTGATATAATTTAGACAGCAGTTCCCATATGGTCTAGCGGTTAGGATTCCTGGTTTTCACCCAGGCGGCCCGGGTTCGACTCCCGGTATGGGAATGAAACTTTAGTCAGGGACAGTTCTGATGAGACACTGATAATGATTGTAGCTCTGTGTGAAAACGGTAACCCTCTAACACCTTGAAAACAGTTAACACAGTCGTCAAGCTAAAAAATGCAACCGGGCTCTTCGTCTACAGCAGTGCAACTTCAACAGATGAGATGCTACATTGGTCAATCAAAGACATGCAAACACAGTGTGGTAAATAACTTTGTAACATGAATCAGAGTTCTGCATGGGTGCAGTTTTGCAAACCCACATCTGCCCACGCCTGCAAAGATCAGTACCTGAACCAAGCCAATCTGTACACACTTCGACCTGTCAATAGAAGTCCCACGACCTGACCCATGATTAAACGCACTGTTTTTGTTATGTTGTTTTACATAATGTAGTGTCCCACTCAGATGTGCAAAGAGCCTGCTCAGTAAGCTCCCACCTGTTGTTGCTGTAATTTGCGGTAATCATCAGTCCAGATATCCACAGTAACTGCCCCATTGGCCTCAGTCACCTGGATCCTCAGCTCCAGAATCTGCCCAAGCTGCGTTTAGTTCATATTTACTCATGCCCATGAATTTATATGAATATATTTTTTATCTACTGAAAAATGTTTTTGTGGTTTACTCGGCAGGTACTTGCAGATACCGTGGGTATCCAACCCGGCGCAGGACTCTAAAGTGAATTCTGTGTTTCTGCTGTTTACTTTGCAATTGTCAAAACGAAAGATTAAAGAAAGTATCATTCTGTTATTAACTGGACTTTCTAGATCATATTGCATTGTCACAACAACAGGCCTACACCATCACAGCTTTCTGAACTGTTTTAACACAAGACTGTTAACACTACAATTTACAATGAGACCACAGTTCGTGCACTTCAACAGAGTCACCACCATCAGTCTGATCTTTTATAGCTCTAATGTAAAGTTTCTCTTCAATTCCATGCTGGCTAAACAGTGATTCCCATACCGGGAGTTGAACCCGGGCCGCCTGGGTGAAAACCAGGAATCCTAACCGCTAGACCATATGGGACTTCTCATAGACACCCCACAGTGATTTACAGTGTAGCAGGTGGCAAGAAACATGCAGAGTCAAAAGACATTTGTCAAGCAGAACTGTAAATATGCTGATGCTGACATCAGTTCTCGCAATACTTTAACAGATACCCCTTTTCCGCCAACATGGAACCGTTCTGTTCGGGTTCCCGCACCTAATTCTGAACCATTCAGAGCATTTTAACTAAAATTATATTGGCTCAGAACCCAAAAAAGTTGACACCATTGACACATGCCTGCTGAGCCAGAGGCAATCTGGTTAGGGTTAACTGTAGTATAGGTACTCTCAATTACAGTGGTTAGAACTGTATGTTTTACAGATTCATGTTGGTTAAATGTTGATTCCCATACTGGGAGTTGAACCCAGGCCGCCTGGGTGAAAACCAGGAATCCTAACCGCTAGACCATATGGGACTTCTTTTAGAGAGCCCACAGCGATTTAAAGTGCATCACATGGCAAGAAACATGCAGAGTCAAAAGACATTTGTCAAGCAGAACTGTAAATATGTTGAATGAATGTCATGCAGGAGGTGACATCAGTTCTTGCAGTACTTTCACAGATACTCCTTTTCCGCCAACATGGAACTGGTTCCGTTCAGGTTCCCGCACCTAATTTTGAACCATTCAGAGCATTTTGACGAAAATGATATTGACTCAGAACCCGAAAAAGTTGGTTCCCAGCTGGAGCCAAAAAAATCGGATTCTTCGTGCTCACCATGATGACATCAGTGGGTGTGTCCAAGACGATGGAAACTATCTATTAGCTGTATGACACCATTGAAACATGGCTGCTGAGCCAGAGGTAATCTGGTTAGAGTTAACTCTAGTTTACTGTAGATACTTTCAATTGCGGTGGTTAGGACTGTATGTTTTACAGATCCAAGCTGGTTAAACATAGATTCCCATACCGGGAGTTGAACCCGGGCCGCCTGGGTGAAAACCAGGAATCCTAACCGCTAGACCATATGGGACTGATTCACTGCTAAATAGGACTACTTTCTGAATCAGTTCATAGTCTGAAGGCCTGAAACATGATTCAGGCAAGTACATGAACTCTGACAATCTGAGCTCTACAAGACTTATATCAAACATTGTATTCTAGAGTGAGTCATTTGATACAGCTTAACATCACAGCCAGCAGTTTGAGGACTGCTGTAAGGGGGTGATGTGGCATGACACAACAAGAAAAACCTGATGTCCTCTGTCTGGCTTCAACTCCACTCAAAACCAGTTTCACAGCTGAATAGTCCAAATACAGAAGTATTTAGGAGGACTGTATGCAGGCATCTCTACAGATTCATGCTGGTTAAATAATGATTCCCATACCAGAAATTGAACCCAGACCCTCTGGGTGAAATCCAAGAATCCTGACCACTAGACCTGGAAGTGGATCAGAAATGACCTGGGCTCAGATGTTGTATCAAAGTCTGCTCAGGTTTTAAGCCTTCAAATCAGGCAAAGCTGTGCCAGCACTATGTACTTGAAAGGGACACGCTCATTTCCCAGGGACTGTGAACTGACCAATATGCAGTGGTGTACTGGAGGGTATATGCAGGTATACGGGGTATACCCACCTCTTTTTCTGGCCATTCATAGTATACCCACCTATCAGCCAAAAAGATACTGGGATATATAGGAGAGTGTATCTACTTCCTTCTTTGTAACCAATGCATCTGCCTAATAGTACACCTACATCGTCAACTACCACCACATCACTGCCAATATGGGTGCAAAGATTTTAAGGCTGCAGGCGAATTGTCAAAATAAAAAATGACCTTCTATGACCTTTCCTGACCACTTTTCCTTGACCTCAATGGAAATCATCATGAGGTGGTGAAGGAAAGATAGATATAAGAAAGGAATCCCTGAAGCTCCTTTCTTTCACATTTAGACAATTCCACTAGCTCTTATCACGATGAACACTCAGATACCTCCAAGTCATTTCACTCAGGTAGGAACCATCTTAGGTAGTAAGGACTATTTAACAGCAGCCTTGGTTCTAGGTTCTACCTTGTGTTTTATTGTGTTTACAAACCAGGATTTTGTTGATATACGCCACTAAAAAGGCGATGTTGCTTTGAATACCGGGACAAACATTGCCCTTTTTTATACATTGTTTGTTAGGAAAGTTTAGCTATGTGACTGAAAACTGGACTGACTGCTCTGAATCAGAATACTGCCTGTATATTGAAACTTCTCTTAACACATGTCCTCCATTATCAATTGCTGTGTTTGCTGAGTTGATGATTTAGGTTCAGGAACTTGTCCCCCAAGTACAGGGAGAACAGTGGAAACTAAAGCAGAACCTTTGGGAAGTTATGGGTCTTTAAGTTCCTGTAGTAGAAAAGCCCTTTAAATACAGTATATACGCAGGTGAAACCAACCTTTAGATTTCCTTTGGTAGTAAAAGCTCGTCCACAGACAGCACAGGCAAATGGCCTCTCCCCAGTGTGAGTCCTCTCATGGATCTGCAGAGCACTAGAGGAGGAGAAGCTCTTCCCACAAGTCTTGCAGTGGTGTTGTTTGGGTGTCCGGCGAGGTGGTGCTACAGCACATACAGAAGACTCTAAAACAGAACAGCTCTGGGAATGACCAGGAAGGTCCTCGCCATTCCTAAAGGAGGAGTTCAGGACAGCAGCAGTCTCTGTCTTCACAGCTGGTGAGCCGATGGATAACATGGAGCTGTTATGGTTGGGTGCTTGGTTAGGATTGGAAGGTTCGAAGAGATGTGATGGGAAGACCCTCATTTGATGTGTGAGCATGTGCTGCTTGAGATTCCCTTTAGTGGAAAAGCCCCTGTTGCATGTTGTGCAGATAAACGGTCTCTCCTTAGTGTGGCTTCTGTAGTGGATATCCAAGGCACTTTGACAGGCAAAAGTCTTCCCACATATATCACAATACGTGTTCTTCAGGACTCCCTTTTCTCTGAGACTGTGAATAAAGTTTGGAGAATCTTCGGCATGGTTAAATAAGGTAAGGTCGGTGGGCGCTGCAGCAGATGCATGGAGAGTTAAAGTGGCTGAGTCGAGCCACGTCTGGAGTGGCTCTTCAAGCCTTACAGTTTTAAAATACATTGAAGTTTGTCCATTAGGAGACAGAGACTGCTTGGAAGCTGAAATGTTGGACATGGGAAATGTACCAATCCACTGACTGGCTTCAGCAGCATGTTGGTTATTTGTGTCATTGGATCCTTCTGGTCTCTCTGTTTTGATCCATTTGAACTGCAGCTCCCCATGTGGCCTCTTGTTAGCATCAGTTAGATTTTTACCAAACGATGGGGCCAAACAGAGGGATAAGGATTTGAATCTAGACTGCTGGTTGTCACAAAAGTCCCCATTATTGTCTTCTGAGATGTTCTTCCTGTGATTCAATTTTGTTTTGTCCCTGAATCCTTCGTTGCAATCCACTGAGTATGTCTGATTTGTACGGTCTGCACTGGGTAAGAGACCTTCCATGTGCATGTGCACATGTTGCTGCAAGACAACAGCATTCGTGAACTTCCTTTGGCAGATAGGGCACGAGTGCTGGGCCCTCAGTGGGGCGGTAGCACGGTGAACAGCCTGGTGCGTCTTCAGGTTTCCTTTGGTTGTGAAAGCTCGGCCACAAAGTTTACACCGGTAAGGACGCTCCCCTGTATGTGTTCGATAGTGCATCCTCAGAGCGCTCTGACAGCTGAGGATGCGGTGGCAGATGACACACTCGTTTGGGTCTGACACTTTTTGGTCAGTGGTGTCAGATGGCAGCTGGAGTTTGATGTTTGGTGTTGAGTGTTTTAGTGAAAGGAATCCTGAAAATGAGGTGGAACTGGGATGGATGAATGGATTGAGTTTGACAGCGACCAACTCCTCTGACTTTGTGGTCATCATTTTAGAGACAAAGTTAAAAGATGGTTTTACACCTTCACTTTGAAGACTCATTGTTCTTTGTTGCCTGGTCTCCACTGAGGCTGGCATCTTTGTAGATTTTGCTTTTGACCTGAAGTCCATGCTTGCAGCTGAATCAAAGTAAAGATCCCCTTGAGTAAGTGGAAGGGGTACAGAGATAAGGTTCTCCTCTTTCTTGATGAGAGAGGACAGGTTGGTTGAGTGCGGCTTCTCCAGAGAACCAGAGGTCATTGTGGTTTTGGAAGGTGACCTATCAAGCCATCTTAAAGCTGCTTTCTCTGGTAACATACCAAAATAAATCCCAGCATTGGTTTGGATTTTGTCCAGGTGCCCTGGAGCAAAATAAGGGTTCATCTGGATGTGTGGGTACCTCTCTTTGTGCCTCTGAAAATGAACCTTTAGGTTCCCCCGGGTGGAGAACCTGTTTCCACAGACGTTGCATTTGTATGGCCGCTCTCCAGTGTGGGATCGCAGATGAATTTGCAAGGCACTGTCGCTCCCAAAACCTTTGCTGCAAAATCTGCATCTGTGTTTGAAGAGAAACTCTTTTGAAGGCGTGGCTGCAGAATGCTTCAGATTCTTGCATTTGCTCTGCTGGGCCAAAGCTGCCAGGGCATCCAGATCCTCCACGATTGCACTGATGTTTGGTATAGACTCTGTATGCTCACTGCGGGATGAAGGGTGAGGTGCATGAGAGTTCTCAGAAGTCTTACTGATGAAGCAATTATTACTAAACATCAAAGAGGACATCTTGGTTTGGGACAAGAAACTAAGTTGGGAGTCCATGTGTTGTGTTTTAGAAATGCGCTCATGAGCTGCTGTCGTCATGAGCTCATTAAGACTCTCTGAGGACTCTGACATCACATCTTTGCTGTCAGGTTGACTTTGATTTAGCTGCTCTGTGACTGTGAACTGTTTGTAGCCACTGATGTTAGCAGATTGAGTCGATAAGCTTTTGGCTAACCCTGCAGCTGCAGCTAGCTGCTGAGACAGATGAGTGCCGAGAGCCTTGAGCTGATTGGTGGATTTTGAAGACGGCAGCTCCTTGGTGCAGATCATCAGGGTCTCTGGTGTTTCAGCCTGGTGAGAAGCAAACAACAGAACATGGTGACGGATTTGATCAATGAGCTGCAGCTGGTGGACCTGTTGTATCTGCAGGGCGAGGAGCTGCTGCAGCAGAGATGAGATGTTGGTCTGACTGCGGCAGCTGTCCGAGTGCATCAGCTGTGAAAACTGAGCCACGGCCACTTTAGTGCTCTCCAGGTTTTCAATAACGACGTTGCTCTTCATCCACGAGTATCCTGCTGGGTCGGATGAGCAGCCCTGCTGAGGTAAGGATTCTGGGAAATCCGAGGTACAAAGGTCATCATCAGTTTTACATTCAGTGCCACTGACACTCTGGTTACTGCTGGAGCTTGAGGGACTTTCTGCATGTCTACTTCTGCTAAAACAATCCATGAAATCTGCGCTTCTGTTGGATCTGTCCTGTGATGGGCTGGCTGGTGACCAGATGGATTGCAGATCCTCGTCCTCATTCACGATCAGAACTGGTGGATTTGGAGAGCAGGCGGTTTGATGTTGTTGCAGATCTGACAGCGCAGTAAACTCAGCACAGCATCGGCTGCAGACATGAACACAGAGATCCACTGCAGGAGGAGAGTCCGCACTGAGAGACACATCATCTGAAACAGATTTCAGAATGAAAATTATTATCATCATTATAATAATTTGCTGCACTTTTCTGCAACATTTTAAAAAGCATTCATAATAGACTGGGCTTTCTTTATCAGAGGGTGGCTGAGGTGTTTTTGTTTTTTTTTGCCATTATCTTGACACTCTGAAGCTACAAATATTTTTCCTTGAGCTTCACTGAGTGACTGGAGGAAAATCAATTTCCTTCCCTTTACCATCAATAACCATATTTTTTATATTTACACCAAATAAAAATATTGGAGCCAATGCAACAAGCAAACAACAGGAGTGTGAGTTATCACAAATCCTCCTCACAAATCACATAATTTTACTATTTAAAACTTTAATGAGACGCAGAATAAAATGATTTTGATGACATGATATGTTTAAGGACCATCGGAAATTTGAAAATCCATCGATAATGTCTGTTTGTACAGTTTCTTGCTGTGATAAGTTATATAATTTTGGTGATTTTTGAAGAAAACATGACAGTGGCATTTAGGATTAAGAGGGTTGTTTAATAAACAGTTTAGTTTAGTTTAGCTTAGTCATTTTCCAACTTATAAAACTCAAATGTACTGGTAGATAGACAATACATAAAAGTTAAGTTAATACTTAATGTTGATTATGCTTAATTTAGCATTAAAAAGGGTAAACAAAAACAAAACAAACCAGGACCGAAAAGGTGTAGGCTGAAGCTTCAGCTTATCACACCTACCCTTTTAACATTCATTGTTTTTGTCAGCTCCCTTTGAAATACCAAATACAACCATATAAAGATGAATGTCCCTCCTTTAAGCCAAAATAAAAAGCACTAGTCCCTCCCCAGTGCTTTAATATGATTTGAAACAATCTGTTTACGTGTATAATTTACAAGTTACAGAGCTGTTCATGAACACTCGTCTCTCTTTTTCAACAGGAATCTCAAACAAAGTCTAACGTCAGTGACTGGACCGGCAGCAAATCAGACTAATTTTAATTTAAGATTAGTCTGAAACATCATCACACCAATTTCTCACCTGAGTGAACTCAAAATGTTTTAATTAAGAATTAACGCCAGTCTTATTATTTATAGAACTCACTGTTTTTCAGAGTTTAAATTTAAATATGTTGAAGTTTAATTCAAACTTTAACAGAGCAGATTTAACTCTCTTATTGAAACAAGGTTCAATAATATTCAAATTAATCAAGAAAAACACAACAGATCAACAACATAAATAAACTTGCACTGTAGTACTACTGTATACTGAACTATAGATGTACAGTAATTCTACCACTGATCATTAGGTTTTATGTGATAGGAATACTGTAAAAATAAAATAATACTGAATGATAGAAAATGACTGATTTTACTTTACATCCACAACTTCTGCTAATAAACAAGTTATTTTTCCAATAATTCCCATAAAGATAAACTGCACAGATTGTTTTCCTCAAACATTATGATAAATATTCTGCATTAAAATAACTCACCGGTGTGTCTGCGCAGAGATAAATCATCAGTGTGGACCTGCTGTGGTTTCAGCTGTTTCCTCCGTGACATGTTTCCAACTCTGACTGACTGAATGAGACAAAGACAGAGACAGAGAGACGAGAGAGACGAGAGAGAGCATAGAAAATACAGTATTTGTCATAACAAACCACACCCACCACACACACACACACACACACACACACACACACACACACACACCTATTTATCTCAGTGTGTAAATTTGAGTTTGTCACTGTTCAAATTCCAACTAAAATCACAATGATATAGTTTCAGTTTAATGTATTGTTAGTCATTTTCTTGTTATCAAAAGGAAGAAAAAAATGTTTTATGAAAATATCAGAAAAGCTGGAGGCTGTGTGTCCCTGTCTGAGTTTAAATGACAGTGTTAACTAAATTTTACACACACTGTTTTTACTGTGTGTACACGTATATTCATAAAAAGTACCTGCATGTGAGCAATAAATAATATGTTAAGAAGCACAGACATTAACTGAGACTTAAAGTTTGCTTCTGACATTTTCTGAAACTAGATTGTTTTAAGGTTCTGTATATAACGTGTTTACATGTATTCATAATTTTTAATTTCCAATGGGTGAACAGGTTGTAACGTAACTTAAAAACTGTGACCTTCCCAACTGTTTCAGTTGCCAATAACAGCCTCTGGACTGATTTTCTATGTAAAGGACTGGTGACAAAAGTTACTGAAAAATCCAAAGGATGTTCTTGAGTGACTTCAGCTAGTGTGCAACAGTAATGCTAGCTTACAAATGGAGTCCAGTTCACACATGTTGTGCTTCTATACATTTTGCAGTGGCAGTCCGTCACTGACGGACTTTCATTTAGCACCCTGTAGCAACTCGTATTTCGCCAGAGTGTGACAGGGGGACCACCTTCTCTACATCCCGACTCCTCGCCAGATCAGAAGACTTTCTGTTGCTGCCATACAAGGGTTAGATGCAGTGCTGCCGCTGGCCACCAGCCCACCATGAACCCCAGTGGGCTTGCATTGACTGAATTCGAGTTGATACACTAGGGCTAGGGTAGTCCTAGTGGTGGGGAGTGAGGCATCAGACACCAACGGAAAAAGCATCGGCATGATATACGGCCGGTCGCCGTTATAGTTTAAGCGGGAAATGCGGTGGGACAAGGACGAAAGTTAAGGTGGCGAAAGTCCCAGTGGTGCAGGTGGGAGAGGTGGCAGATGGGTCCAACAAACACCGACTTTCACCCAAGAGAGCAGTGTTCACATCCCATAAGATTCTAAAGATAAACCCAGTTTTTTGGCCTAAACCCAAGCATGGTTTTTTGTTTTTGTTGAAGGAAAAAAACGTAGTAGTGCTTTTATTTTGAAAGAGACTGTATGTAAACGTTACATTTCCTGTGAAAACAGAAGTGTATTTTGAAAGAAGACAAGGCATGTAACAGGCAGAACTTGACATGGCTTCCCACAACGTCAACAACCAACGCACCCAGGGTACCTTGCACGTCATATGTAGACGTGGAAAGTCCAAACGTCAACATGTGACATGGTCGGAGTGAGAATGTGTTGGCTTTCTATCAATATGTTCATGGTCAGCCACGGTCAGACTTGTGTTTGTCACTGTTTTGGTCGATGCCCAGACAGCTAATGGCTGCACAGTGTGAACAACAGGATGCTGACTGCAGGTCACTGAACGTCCTCAGAGAGAGGGGTCACTAATAACAAGGATTTTCTGAACGTTACATTCAGTACCTTTAACATTTTTATAATCGACTATAAAATCTGCTGCTATTTATTAATATCCATCAGTTAGCCTCAATATTCAAGTTTATGTTTTTATGATTAACTCTTCATGTGTCTGCTGTTTGTTGTTTAGCGCTCAGTAACCTGAGAGGTGAGGAGTTCACTCAGCTGCTGGTCTCTGAAGTCATGTGATTCACACCTGTGTGTCTCAGGTGTGTGTGTGTGTAGGTTCATCCAGGTGTTCTCTCAGGTACTCTGTTATTAGATATGAAAACTTCTCAGAAGCTCAGACCCCGGGGCCGTTAGCAACCTACTCCAGGGGCCAACAGGGAAACTCACACCAACACTGAGTAGACCTCACTTCCTGTCTGCTCAGGTTTGATACACAACCTGAGGTACAAGTGTGTGAATCATTTTAAAAAATGAATTCTGATATTTGGAAGAGGTAAAACAGTTAACTGCTTTTCATTATAAAAGACACTTTCAGTAGCTACACTGTGATTTATATTAGTATTTAATTTAACTGCTCATTTTCTTTGGTTTCTACACATTTCATTAAAGTTGCTCTGAGGTGACAGGAAGATTCAAATGTTGTCAGTGATGAAATATTATCTGGAAGAAACATCCTCTTTTAGATGAGAGGTCTGGTGATGTTCTATATTTATCATAGTGACATGTTTCTCAATCAAAATAAACACATACGCACACAAATAATGAGGACCGATGTCTCTGAGACCCCAAACTGAACATTTAAACATATTTCTAGAGGCCTGAAGAATAAATAAATCAATTAAAAAAAGCAAAAAATAGAGAAGAGACACAAAAAGAAACACTTTGTACAGCAGGAACACGTTTTTTCTTAATCCTATGAATCATCATGACACATCAGATTCATTTGCTGACCTCACTGTGAATCATTGCATTAATACATGAAGCAGCAGGCAGTCGGTCAGAGACAGGATCAAATTTAAAGAGGACCTATTATGTTCATTTTCAGGATCATACGCTGTATTTTGGGTTTGTACTAGAACATGTTCACATGCTTTAATGTTCAAAAAACACTTCATTCTCCTCATCCTGTCTGTGCTAGAACACCTGTATCTGGCTGAGAAGCTCTGTTTTACTGCCGTCTCTTAAAGACCTGCCCCCTGAAAAGCCCAGTCTGCTCTGATTGGTCAGCGTTTATCTCAGTGTCTTTGCACCTTCATTGCACCTGGAGGAATGAACGTAACAGAAAAAAGTAGTACTTTGTACCGTTAAAAATCACCAATAAAAGCCAATAAATTGTTCCAGCAGGAATATGATCTAAAATAAACATCAGTAATAAGATGACATGTTTCCCTGACGTTAGCATGTAGCGACATGTAGCAGTGTATGTAATGTAAACACTTGCAGTAGCGTGCCTGGAGCAGATGATCATATCAAGAAATCCAGCCTGCTCTCATTCTAAAGCCATCAGATACTTCTTTGTCTGTGATTTCTGCATCAGCCACCGACGCCAAAAGCCACCTTTCATTGTGGTATGATATGCTGGGCGGCGTCAGTTTGTAATGCGGCCACACAGCACATGTCGCAGTAGTATGATACACCACAGGATGGTATCAGTTTGAAATGCTAATGGTAACACAGATTATAAGGAGCTAGCAAGTTCCCATAAGGTGGGCAGGAGTGGAGGTGGATGTGTCCAACAAATCCCAGACTTTCACCCAGGAGCCCAGTGTTTGCTTCCCATATGAATGCAAACCCAAACTATGATGTTTTTCTTCCAAACCTAACCATGTGCTTTTGTTTATGTCCTGACATTGGTTGCGGTGTCCCAGAACATCAGCAGGAGACACTGGAGGGTACCTAGCACGTAATACATAGTCGTGAGAGTCCACTGACAACGTGGTGATTTGTGACAACTTGGGATGCAAACACATTGAGAAGTCCAACGCGCTCTCATCCCAATCTGTGAAATATTGCTTTGTCAGGGGAGCAACACATCCAAATATAATGTGCTCGATACTAGGGTTGGGTCAGTATGAGAAAAAAAAACAAAAAACGGTCCAGTTTTTGTAAAATACTGCATCAAGTCGGTAATACCGGACTTTCGCCACTTGGGGGCGCAATTGACTCATTTAAAATAAAAAACGACCGTAGGACTATGGCAAGCCGTTTTAACGTTTAATAGCTAGACTGGATATTCATATCTGATATCTGCAACATAATTTTGCCTAGTCAAAACTCTTATTCAAGATATCTGTAATTTAGTTTTGACTAGTCAAAACTCTAATTACAGGTATTATTTAGTTTTGACTAGTAAGATTCAAACTATTTTTGCCATTCATGTGTATGGGGTTTGTCATTATAGATATCTCCAATGTAGTTGTGGATATCTGCAATTGTTATTTTGGATATCTGCAACTGAATTGTGGATATCTGTAATTCCAGTTTGAGATATCTACATTTTAATTTTGACTAGTCATAATTCAAGTTCAAGATATCTTTAATTATCATCAATTGAAGATATCTACGTGGTCCTTTCTAGATATCTTGAATTGAGTTTCAGATAGTCAGAATGACGTTGTAGATATCTTGAATTCGAATTATGACTAGTCAAAATGACGTTGTAGATATCTGTAACTGAATTATGACTAGTCAAAATGACGTTGTAGATATC